ATTAAGGAGGGAAGTGTTTCTGCTTTCTGATACATCTACAGCCAGAATCTATTCTAGGAAGGGCATTCCAAGAGCAGTTCCTTATTCAGCAGAAGGGCAATGTTTCCTCTGTGTTTTGAGATTTAAAAAATACAGTACAGACTACGATCTACTTAAGAGATATTAGGACAGGAACACTGGGCCTAAAATCCATGGACATGGAAGCATACATTGTATAGTGCAGCTAAGTGTGTCTGCAGCCAGTAAGCATGTACTGCTTTAGTAGAACACACCTTTTCAACTGTGTACCATTTTTATCCTGGTGCAATGAATCATGTGGAGATCACTTCTTTTAGATAGTTGGTATAGCAAGATTAGAGCAAGGTATATTTGCTACTGTGGAGCAATACTAGACAATAAATTCTATTTCCATGAGAGGAATGTTTTAATAATACTGGGTCTTATAAATTGGCACGGCATTCTCTTTCACTTCTTATACTTCTGATGAACGAAGCTGTTTTAAAGAAGAAAATAAGAATCCTTTTCACTCTCTAGCCACATGCTTTCTCATTATTCATCACCTGAAATCAGCAGGCTGTAAAAATGCAGGGAGAAACCCTAGCACAATTGCATGATTTTGAAACTGGAACACTATGACTCAAATGTGGAACAATTCTCTTGAGGGAGAAGCAGCTGTTTTGCATTGGTAACAGGTTGTGTGTGACCCTTTGGGAAATGTTTTGCACTCCAAATGGTTGTGAAGCAGCAGGGCTACATTGCTTGGCATCAGCTACTCCTATAACATGCACAGCGTGGAAGCTACTGTTCTCCAAGCAGATCAACCAGCCAAGACAGGTTGGGCCTTCCTCAGCTGCTCGTCAAGGTGGAGCAATGCTTCTTGCTTTGAGTCAAAGATTCTGGTCAGATAACTCCAAGCCTTTCACTTCTGTCGTACTTTAGAGTTCAGAATAACACAAATCTTACGGCATAGTATTCTGTGTTTTCATTCTACTAGATCAGCTGTGTGGAAGAGTGTCCTATGACAGTATATAAGCAAGATGATGGTGGTGCAGAATAGTAAGCAGTGAGATCAGAAAGAAATGAAATGTCACAGACTCAGCATTTCTATGGCCCTGCTCCTACCTCAGTATAAAACCCCATGTGGTTGAGGAAATGGATGGTTGTCCATAAAAGGTTATGCTGAGGCAAGGCATCTATTCAGCCTTACAGCTTAATAAATCTGGTAGATACTAAAGTCTTTGTTGTTTTTCTTGCCACAGAATAACAGTGATTCCTCCTGGTAAGACTGAGAATGCTTCACACACTTTACCTTTTGTAATCCTCAACAACACTTGAAGAAATGGAGCCATGGCCAAGTAGCCATTGCTTCTTTCAGGCTATCTAGAACAGGGGTGGGCAACCTTGTGATGGTCAGAAGGAATGGGAGACAAGGGACCTGGTGGGTGTGACAATAATGCAGAGTGGGTAAGTCAGTCACAAACAATATTTCAGAATTCACAGATTTTAATATATTTTCCATCTCATAATGGCAGGGAGCAAAATGTTCAGTGGTGTAGTAAAAGATATTTTGAGGTGGGTCATAAAACTGTGGTTTGGGGCTGCATTTAGCCCCATGGCATCAGGTGGCCCATCCCTGAACTAGTAATTTAACCCTTGGGGAGATAATGTATGTGAGAGCTTCTAATTTTTGCTGGCTATAATGGGGGTTATTATGAACTCAGCTTCAACAAGAGAGGAACCACCAGTTGGGGAAGTAGGAAAAGGATCCTCTTATGAGCAGATTTTCACAATGCCACAAATTCATCTACTGTCTCTTTCTGTCAGCAGGAAGGATGGTGAGGAAAAAGATGCCCAAACAATTTTTCTGGAAACTACAATCCACATTTAGAAAGAAGATGTCACTTTCCATCAGGCAATTAGTCTCTTTCAGGAGGTTTAATTATCAAATGCATTAAGTTGGCAGGCAACGGTACCCTTTGTGCACAATCAGGGGCTGTTTTTATCATTAAAAGTCGCCACTTAACAGAGGCTGAAAGCCCACACATGTAATTACATTTCTCTCTGATGTGGCAGGGAAATAGTCCACCTGTAATGATTTTATTTTTATTGGCAGAACCTTGCTCATTCAAGAATGACACTGCAGCATCCTTGCTTTAAGCTACTGTAATTGTTTTGAAACATCAGAAATGAACCAGGAACGCCAACTGAAAATATTTACTGAGGTGCTAAATTCACCAGTCTGTTTTGTCACTTCAGGACCATGGGTGGAGGGGAGTTAAAAACTCAGGATGATGGCCACAACCACATACTCAAAAGGGCAATATGGTCTTGGGCACCATCTTGATTTTTGTATTCCTTCCTCTGCTTCCCACCTTCCCATTCCTTAACGCTCCTGGTAACTTCCTCAACTCAGAATGATAAGGTCTAATTTTGTTGCATGTCTTCCAATAAAACTACTTCATACCTTCCACCTTTCTTATACAGAAAATATTTTTTTTCTGCGTGACTGGAAAAGAAAGTTGAAAATAGAAAAACAGGGCCGTTGTCCTATCTGTTGTTATCTATGGCTGTGTTGAAGTCCATATCTTTTTGGATTGTTTTTATTGTGGATGAGATGTTTTGTATTTTATCCCAAAGAAACTAATTTAGAAACATGTCTGCAAGCAATCATTAGTTATATAGTATCACTCAGCGGTTTAGTCTATTGATGGTAGGAACCAAATGTCAAAACATTAAGGGTTACAGGGTTAAAAAATCAGGGATTCTGGGTCTTACACTCCAAGATATCTAAGGAACATTAAGTTACTGATCCATGACTTATATTTATTGCTCTGTGTTAGCTCCCCAGTGAAATGTAATGCAGAATATGATGCTGTCTACCAGGGTTAGGGTTAGGGTTAGGGTTAGGGTTTGAATAACTGGGTATATGCTCAGGTGCATGTAGGATTCTTCATGCATACATTTATTATTCTTTCCAATTCAGTGAAATGTTGGGTACAAATTATGTAAAGGGGCTCAGGACACTATCTGGATGTCACCCCAATAACTGAAAATGGAACAGAATACGACCAAATTTGGTGTGGTGGCTTGATGAAAGTCAGCAAAAGAAAGACTTTTAAAGACTTCAGTACTGGGATGGATCAGGCTGGACTACAGAAAAAAGAAATTCTGAACAATTCTGCATCACGACGAGAAAGGCAGTTGGATAGAGCTCAAAACATTGGCAACTGTTTCATTCAGGGCCTGCCTCCCTTCCCGTCAGAGCCAGAGCAAAGTGTGTGCAGCCCAGCCCAGCCCAGCCCAGCTTCTCAGTGCACAGATACATGCAAACAGATGGTCTCTGCAGGAGAATGAATCCCAGAAGCCAGCCTCTGCATGTTTTCTCTACCTTGTTCTAAGAAAGCTTTTCATGCTTCTTGTGAAATGCATACAGAATGCCTGTAGGTAACTGTGACCAGGCCAACCAGGAGCCTAAAACTGCACGGCATTGATAGAAATATGCTTGTCTTGGGAAGACCTGATTGTCAAAGAAAGTAATAGACATTTCTTGATCTTATTGAGATAAATATGTCAGAACAATATAAATGATTTACCTACTACACAGAAGAAATATTTTTAAGAACATCTAAGTGTTTCACTCCCTCAAAGACTCTTTATTCTAATGATTTCTTAAAGATTTACACTTTTCTTTGTAATTAACCTATCAATAATAATGTCATTTAGATGTTCCCTAGGAAGATTATCTCCTCATTATTGTCAGAAAACAGGCCGCCCAATTTCATAGCTCAGTTGTTCTAGTGCATGGCTGATGAATCTGAATTAAGTGAATGGCAGTGACACTTTCTTCTAAACATAAGAACAAAAGAAAAGAGTAATTAAGATGTAACTTACTCGTGCCTCACAGAATTGCAAATGGATAGTGAGTGTGAACAGGCACTTCAGTCTACCACAGAAACACAATTGTTTGTTGATTCTGGTGACTTCAAGCAGGGGGGAAGAAATGTTCACTTAGAGCAGTGTTGTCCAAACTTGGCCACTTTAAGATGAGTGGACTTCAACTCCCAGAATTCCCCAGCCAGCCCTCGTCGCTGGGGGATTCTTGGAGTTTGAGTCCACTCATTCTTAAGAGGGTCAGTTTGGGGGACAAAGCCCCTAATTGATCTTTTTTTCCCCCCGCTC